AGCCGCGCCGGCGTGCCGTGCCGTGCCGTGCCGTGCCGCGCCGCCGGCTGCGGAGAAGGCAGCTCGGCTGGAAGAAGGAGCTGCCGCCGCTCGGTAGCTCTCAGGGAGGTCTGGAAGCCAAAATGGGGTTTATGAACGGCATTCGGAAAAAGCTGTGCTGCGTGAGCGAGCCGACCTGTTGATAACCTCAGGTCACGTTAAAAAAAAAAACCAACCACCCAAGAAAAACTGAATTATTTGCCCGAGCACACTAATAAAACTACAAAACCCAGCGTTAACAATCCCCAGGAAGCATCCTGGGGTGGTTTCGGCATCGCCGGAGAGCAAACACTCGGATCCGGCCACCCGGTCCGACGCTGATGCAAAGCTCCCCTCTTGTTTTTGTTTGCGCTTGCACCATTTTAATAACAGGCTAGCTCCAAAATCAAGCTCACTCAAGTATGGCTCATCAAGCTCTTAAACCTGACGCGTAATTCCTAGGTGTATATAGAAGTTTTAAAGGCGACTATCGGTGGAAGCAACTTCTGTCGCAGGAATGCAGCATCCTTCAGGTGTTCGTATTCAGCGAGATCAGTCTTGGAACAAGACCCGAGAAACCCGCGCTCCGCACGAAGCCGAGCAGAAGTAGAAACAGAAACAAAACAAGCTTACGGAAAGGAATTTAAATAGCCGTGTATTTAAACACTTATATAAAAGTCCTGCCAAAGCCCCTCTCCTTTCCCCTAGAGGGACAGGTTCATCAATAAACGGATTTCAAACTAGACGTGCCACCAGGTCCCTGGATCGTTTCCAGCAACCCGCTAGCAGAGGACTAGCGAGCACAGCGGGGCGAAACACCGCCGCAGCTCACCCCGGGCACGGGACAGGCTTGTAGGAAACGAGGAGCTGCTACAAAGCCCGCTGCGGCCCGATAAAACGCCCTCACGCCAGACGTCTTTGCAAAAACTGGCTATTCCCTTCGGCATCGCTCCGTCGAAATCAGCGTCATTTACCCGCTCCCAGAAGTCCTCGCCGGCTGGGGATCGCGATCGCTCCCTGCCTTCCCCGCTGCCTTCAGAGAGGAGCAAACGCGTGTCGCTAACACCTTAATTGCAATTTTCAGGAGTGATAATTACCCTTCGTTTTGGACAGGACAGGCCCTTTTACCCTGCCTTGAGTTGCTCTGGTCCGATATCAAGGTTTAGAGGAGGCTACACCCCTGGAGCCGCGTCCCGATTGACAACTGCGTTATTAAATTCGCCGTGGTTACCGAAACGAAGACCAAAAAGGCTCCCGAGAACCACGCGTAAAAATTTTGCGGCCGCTGCAAGGCTCGTTTGAAAAGCACCAAGAGACGGGACCGAGGCCCAGCCGTCAAAACTGAGCTGTTTAGCAGAGGAATAGTAATTAATTAATCAGATGAATAGTAAGTAATTAATCAACACACGCCTCCTAAAGAAGGAAAGCCTGAGAAATCGTGTTTATACAGAGGCTTAGATACCAAACGACATCTTAAGACGGGCAATACCATCCCTTGCCGGTTTTTAACTCCAGTTCTGCCGGATTTGAGGAGGTTTGGGCCAGAAACGACACACCAACCTCTCAGAGGGACTGTGGGGCTTACTGGGCGCTGGGAAAGCGCCCTGAAAAGTTTTAGGCAAGTATTATCGAAGCGCCGAGTTTCGCCTAATGGTTTTAAACCCGACGAAACGGAGTCATTTGAAATACGGCAACCGGCGGGTAAGGGCGGTTTGAAAGCAACCGAACGATTTCTAAGGCTGGACGGGGGGGGGGGGGGGGTAAAGAAGAAAATTAAAAAGAAATTAAAGCAATTAAAGCAACGTCGTGCATTTTCGGGGGACGGCTCACCGTGGAGAGTCGCTGCGGGTACGCGGTGAAGAAGCCATGTCTGTTAAGCAACTATTGGTACTGCAGAAAACACTGACTGGGGGAAAATTCTTCCCCGAATCCGCGCTCATCCCGGGCTTTCCTATCGCTCCTGCCCGCCTGATCTATAGGGGCCGGTCCCCGGCGCAGCACACATCCTCGCAGAAGGACCCACGCCGGCTGCCGCGCGGCGTTTGTGACCTCAGCGCCACGGCAATGACGTAACACGGCGGTGACGACGCCTGGAAAAAAAACAAAAGCCCTTTCCAATCGTTATCCTGCCGTACCGGCAGCGTGAGCGCTTTGCTACGGGAAAAATAAGTAGGAATGAGCGTGTTAGGGTTTTTTTTTTTGTTTTTTGCTATTCTGGCCACTGAGGAGCAGCGCGTATTTTAAAGTATTACCTTAAAATGAGTAACGTCACTTTATACAGCTGAGGCTTTGTTACATTTGGAAATGAGCGTTAACGAAGTGACAGATGAGAGGTGGCCTAGACGGCGGATTTACTGTCGGTTATAGCTGACAGACCCTCCCAGCCCTAGTAAAGATATTATTGCTCCTCGCCCGTTACACCTGAAGGAAACCCCCGTCGAAAACAAGCCTCTCGGCTCCCACCCTTGGAAAAACACACGCGTTTTTTACTGTTTTGAAGAAAAGAGAGAGCTTTGCGTGCTCTCACCTGCTCTATACACGTAGGTGCGACAGACCCGTACCTCGGAGTAACTTTTATACAGTACCCCTATAAAAAAAACACACCCCGATTTAATAGCCGACCTGCTGGAAGAAACCTTCCTTTATACGGCGGCTTTTTGCACAAACGGTGCAGCTGACCGTGAAAGCGGCCGCCCGGTGCGCGATCTGGTTTTGCCGGAGCGGATCCACGGACGCCGAGAGCAGGGAGGGGGTTCCGTGTACGAAGGTAGATCTGGCTTTGGGGTGAAAATGCTTTTTTCCGAGCGATGCGGCGGGAAGGCTTTGAAAATAAAGCGCAAACGCTCTGGAAGTCACCGGCTTGCAAATCCGCGGCAATTTAATCTCACGGTAAGCAAACGTTCGCTCCTAATTTTACGGGATTTTAAGTAAAATGCTTGACGGGGACTTAACGCTGCGCGCACACACACGTGCGTGTCTTTAGGACGAAACACCTTCTGCCTCAAGCTGAGCGACCACGAGAGTTTAAAGTTTATTTTTAACAACCTGACAGCGTACTCCGTGGAGGGGAGGGGAGGGGGGGGAACGATCAGATGGCAAATTGAAATCGTAAGCTCAATAAAACCAAGCAAAAATTGAAAATTAACCGTAAACCAACTGGCTGAGCTCGAGGGGGAGTGGGGTTTGGGGTTTTTTTTGGCGAGAGCGGATCATCCCGGCTGAGAGCAACCCTCCGCCAGCTATTTCGGAGCGGGATTTAAAACCGGCCCCCTCCGCCTGTACAACAGGGCGGGGATATTGCGCTGCTTTTAAGCGGAATTCAGTTCTTTTTAGGACAGACACGTAGTTTTTGCTCATTCTCTGCATTTTAAGGTTGTCTAGCGAAAACACAAGGCCAGGCTTCTCCGAGTGACCGCTACACCCAGCTAAAGGTCATTAATCACACATTTAACGCTTCAGCAGAAGTTTACTGCCTCGCCCACAACTTGCTCGGAGGAAACGTATCCCACCCCAGCATCACACCTGCACGCTCCGCACCGGAGAAAATTATTCAGCGAGATCTCTATTCTTTCACCAAAACACTGATTATTCCAGAATCATCCCAAAGGAACTGCTCTCCTCCGGCCCGCCGGTGCGGCCGCCTTCCATTTTATTCCAAGTGGAAACCAGGGGGAAATACATCAATCAAGAAATAAAAGAAGCGCCGCTTTGAAGGCAGCGGGGCCACGCTGCCTCATTCAAACTGCGCGGACCGGGGCAGAAGCCATTAAAATTTATCAGCTTTTTGTATCTTCCATATAGTCGGGTTTTGGGGTTGGGGTTTTTTTTCCATTACGGTAACGAATACGTTGTACCAACTTCTAAGAGGCTTGGAGAGAGATCCCTTTAGCCCACTCCTGGCTGTAATCGGGGAAAATCCTCCTCCTGAGATCCCTAAAACCCGTGTTTTTAAGCGACGTTTATACTAAGGGAAACTTCCACGCGCTCTTTGGTCACAACTCAAGATATTTCGGGGAACGCGCTCGATTCAGCTGCTAATTCTGAACGTCCCCTCCGCTCGCAGGTTAGCTCCTTCCCGCTCCTCCTATCCGAACCCTGCAGTGAAATCCTAACGCCGAGCGCTGACGTCCTCGCTGCCACAGCACGGCTGATGCCACAGCAACGGGATACGTCCCAGGCCCCGGGGAAAAAAAAAAAAAAAAAAAAAGCTGCCGGGGTCTAGGATTTGCCTTAGCCCTCCCTTTAACCTGGTACAACAAAGCCTCGCTCGACCCAAGGAGCCTCAGCCGAACAATTGCGCCCTTAGAAAAAAAAAAAAAACAACAAAAACCAACCCTGTCCCTGCGAAAAAAATTCCTGGCGGGTGCTTTGCTTCTCTATCAGAAGTTGCTCCGATTTTCCAGGGAGCTACTCCCGGTACAGATGTTAAAACGCCTGCCTGCGTGCTTGCACGATTTAAAAGGTAACCTCTAGCAAATCGTGAGCGCCAAGAGGAGGTTAAGCCCGATTAAAAATGGGTCAGGGGAAGCAAGGCACAAGGAAAAGCCCCAGACAAGAAGTTTGACTCCTACTGCTAATATTTAACTATATTAAAAAAAAAATACTCCTCGCTTTATGGAACCAGTCAACAACTCCTGTAAACTTGGTAGTACAATCCCTGAAAACTCCTGACGTTCGAACAATTCCTGGTTCTTCCGTCCCTCGAAAGGGAGAAAATTAACCTGAAGTTTTCCGGCGGCTTATTTTCTTTCTTTTCTACCACATCTGTCCTTTCCAACTCATCTTGGTACGGATAAAAAATCGCTTACGCCGTTAGCAGCGGACAACCAAAAACCAGTTTGGATTCTTCCGGGATCAAGAGTGGAAGCATAGAGCTTAAACATGTACGTACCTTTAGTAAAATAACAGAACAAAGTCACTAACTGAATATATTAGGGGGGGGGAAATCGATGCTATGAGGTCCCACTCACCCCGAACTAAAAACATTTCGGCCAGACCAGTTAACATTTTCAAGCTCCGATAGCGGACCTCTGATCGAAGGGGGCGGGGGGGGGGGGAAATTTTGGGGGGGAAATATCCCAGCTTTATGATTTCGTGGTAAAGTCAAGCCGCAGAAGGTGCAAGGACCACAAGGGTCCCGTCACAAACATTTAAAAACAGCGACGAAAAGGCATAAAAGACATCACTGGATATTGTTTTATGTGAAAACCCCTTTCTGGAATGCAATTAAACCTGTAACGAAAAGCCCTCTAATTTGCTAGAACAAGTGCTTGCATTATTTTACAGTTTAAGCAGATGTATACGCTTTTTTCTTTCTTTTTTTTTTTTTTTCTTTAGGGAATAAAGACAAGAGGGAAACAAACCACCACAACTTCACACAACGGTATCGGTGTGCTTAGAGGGAACACTGGGGTTTTTTTTTTTTTCCACCCGAGAACAATGTAAGCTGGATGAAAAGGGGCAAAAGTGTGTGGTTTTGGTCTCCAGGAAAAACTAACCCAAGAAATTAAATCAACTGGACGGGGAGGGGGAGGAATACCCAACACTGTGCGTGGTGTTCTTACTTCGGACTTGAATCGTGTGAAGTAGCGTGAGGAACAAACTTGAGCTTTTCGTAACGCGCCTGATCGACAAAGGAAAAGAAAGGGAGAAGGAAAATCGGGGGACGCTAACGAGATTTGTTACGAACTGGGTGCTTGCACTGTACGTTCGCTACTTCAATTTCTCCCATTATCCGACATGAGGCTGTGCATGGGGATGGGGGAAAAATGTGTGATGACATTTGGGCAACGGTGCTTTCTTTGCCACCTTTTTTTTTTTTTTTTTTTCTTTCTTTTCCTTTTTGACACACTTTGGAGTTGTTTAACAAAACTTTTTAACGTCTTTTTTCCGCTTTACGGGCAGACCCGCACCCAGGGGCAGCCGGTTTACAGTCAACGTAATGGAATGAGGATGGAGTTTGCAGACAAAGCAATGGATCCACATCCTACGTCTAGATGGCATCAAGGGTCAGAGTGGTATGAGTTTTACCGAGGCATCTCAGTGCTACTTCACCTGGGAACGTCACAACAGACATATCTGGGAGTAAATTGTGTGCTTTTGTGACTTTTTTTTTTTGTCTTTTAAACATTCACATCGGCGGGGTGCACAACTCTATCGGTCATTACAAAGGGGGAGAATTCTGCTTGGTTTGTACACACACGGTATCAACTCACTGCTTACACGAAACGTACCCTGCTGGGGATGTTTCAGGGATTTTTTGGGGGGGGGGGGGGGGGGGGGAGAAAGGCAGGAAAAGGTATAATTTAATTATTCAATAAAAGAGCTTACTTACCAACCCAACCCTGCATCACATGGAAAACAAAACCTCCTCAGAGACAAAGGCATGCTAATGCATAAAAGCAGCTCTCTGCACTGCACACCTGCCCTCCAGGGGAGTGGGAAGGCGGCAAACCTCGCTCTTTTTTTTTTTGATCTCTTTTTTTCCAGACATACACGCTAAAGCTGTTTATTTTTTGCCGATACTCTCTGGCTATATGGTTTCAACTAAAAGGGGGGGGGGGGGAGAAAGTGCTAAA